CATGTGTGCACCCTCCTGCGCATTTTTGTATTCTACATCATGGACAGGGGGGCGAGCGGCCTGCATGCCTGAAGTGGGCTTCCGCGGTGAGCATGATTGCTGGTGTTTGCTTGTTGTTCGTTATTCTCGTCGTGCTCGCCCGCGACCCGCCCGCGATCCACCTATAAAGTTTGTACGGAAATTCGGCGCCCGCGACGGGCTCGCTGTGAAAGGGTAAAGAATGTCGCGCTTGCGGCGGGCTTCTTCAGAGCCTCGCGGACTGCCGCGCGTACCCCGCCGCCCCCATCACTCTTCTCCTCGTCCGCCCACCAGAAGCCAGATCACCGTCTTGGCGTTTCCAGATTACCTCCTCTCTCTTTCTCTCTTCATCCTGTCCTTACCCTCACTCCATCCATATCACTAGTCTTCTGCTTGTACCCCGCCCCTCCCCGCTTCTTCCAGCCGCAGGACTTCATGCCTCCGGTGTCTTGCTCTTCCGTGTTGACCTCCACACCCTCGCACTCTCATGTTTTTGCGTTGTGGTCCGGTTGGCATGCGCTCGTTGCGCATCTGACCGCGAAGCCTTCCTATTTTCATGCAGGTCAGTATGCTAGACGTTTCGCGCAACCCCATCAGCCCATTCAGAAACGATGCCCAGGCGAGTTGCCCTATCACGGATGTGGGGGTGCATGCAGTGGGATAAGGGTTTGGGGAAGTCGTCATACCCCAAGAGGGGGATGATGGAGGAGGAGGAGGAGGAGGAGGAGGAGGTGATAGGAAGTACGGAAGGAAGGAAGGAAGGAAGGAAGGAAGAGAGGAGGAGGAGGAGGAGGAGGAGGTGGAGGAGGAGGAGGAGGAGGAGGAGGAGGAGGAGGAGGGGGAGAGAGGGGAGGGGGTTGGAAGAAGGAAGAAGGAGGACTGCGCGGATGAGGAAGAGAGGAGGAGGAGGAGGAGGAGGAGGAAGACAACGAGGAGGGGGAAGACGAGGAGGGCGTACAGAAAGGCCGGAGGCCTCTTGGATGCTTGGAGTCTCTTGGATGTCTCTTGAGATCTCTTTGGAGTCCTCGTAAGGCTTCTTGGGGGCCTCTTGGCGGTCGCGGGGGCCCCTCGAAGCGTCTTGGGTGCCTCGTGGGAGCCCCTTAGAGGTCTCTTCGGAGCCTCTCGGGGACCTTTGCTCTGGGGTTTCTCGGGGCCTCCTCGGCGCCTCTTGTGGCACTCTTGGGAGCCTTCGGGGGCCATCTTGGGGCCGTCTTGGTGGAGTTCGATCAAAGAAGGGGGGTACTTCATTAGCCCCCCCCCAGGAGGCCAACATTGCTTCCAAACCTTGGGACAATCGATGATGGTGGCCTTTTCGCCGGGGCCTTAGACGCTCCATTGGATCGCGATGCCCCCCGTCCAGGTCCAGGGGAGGGGGTAGTGAGAGGGGTCAAGACACCTTTCTGCCCCCAAGGCACATGCACCTCGTTCAAAACCGGATCGCGGGGCGCCCGCGCATGCTCCAGATTCGGAGGCAAGATCGACAATGTATGTTTTTTGTTGTGTAGTGTCTGTGTGTGCGCGTGTGTGTGTGTGTGTGTGTGTGTCTGTGTGTGTGTGTGTGTGTGTGTGTGTGTGTGTGTGTGTGTGTGTGTGTGTGTGTGTGTGTGTGTGTGTGTGTGTGTGTGTGTGTGTGTGTGTGTGTGTGTGTGTGTGTGGGGTACGTCTGTGTGTGTGTGTGCGTGTACGTGTTTACGTGTGTGTGTGTGTGTAAGTGTGTAAGTGTGTGTGTGTGTTGTGTGTGTAAGTGTGTAAGTGTTTAAGTGTGTAAGTGTGTGTGTGTGAGAGTGTGTGTGGTTGGCTGCGGGTCTCTTGGGGAAGGGGGTGTGTTATCAATCGAGAGCTTTATGGATCCCTTCGCCGAAGGAAGAGAAATGGGGTTGGACGAGGAACGGCCCTAAGCCACTCTCGCCCAGAAGGGCTGGTGGGTTTTGCCGACAGTTGGTCACTCTGATTCTATTGGTCTCTTCGGGAGCATTCATGATGGGTTGGATGTCCGCCCTCGGTACTCGATGTCGTCCTCTCTGCTCCTGCCTCCTGGTCTGCCTTGCGAGCGGATTGTGCCTCACCGTCGAGCGCGTGTCTCTCCTCACCGCCTGAGGTGGTGACACGCTTCGTGACCTACAAGAAGGCGGCGGAGACTCAATCGCACCTCGGCTTGCCCTCTCGCTGCCACTCACCGCTCTGGGGGGGCAGCCGCACGGCAAGGCTGCAGCGAGCCAAGGGTGCTTGCGCCGCGCGCGAGTGGAGGCCCAGAGCCCCCTCTGGAGCTAGGACTGAGGCATAGTAGAGGATTGGGCCAAGGAGCTGAGGGCACTCCCACTCCATGCCCAGCGTCACGGCGGCAGATCCTGCTCGAAAAATGCAGCAGAACGATGGGGTCTAGGGCTCCAGTCGTGTTTTTGTTCGCGATGTGTTTTGGCCCACCACGTCGGGTCTCAGGGTTATCACCAGACCACCGACGCAACAGTTCCCCATCCGACAGGTTGGGGCTGGTGCGGTGGAGATCCATGCCAAGAAGCAACTTGCTGGCCTCCAGGGTGCCCTGGGTTTCTTGGGCTTCGAGGGTCTTGCTGTGGAAGGCGTGACGTGCCCACACCAAGAATCAATGGACGCCCTGGGGTCTCAGGATTGGGTTTCTTGTGGCTGGTTTCTTGTGGTCGGGCCCCTGCTGTATGTGTAGGTGCCGTGTCTTGGATCGATTGGGTCGTGCCGTGCTGTTTCATCCTGTACCTGGGTTTCCTGGAAAGCGTGACGTGCCCACACCAAGAATCAATGGGCGCCCTGGGGTCTCAGGGTTGGGCTTCTTGTGGCTGGTTTCTTGTGGTCGGGCCCCTACTGCATGGAAAGAGAGCTCCCAGCCCGCCTCGCACATCCCGCATGCCTCGGCCGCCAGGCCCGAAGTGTGCCTGTGTCCCCGTGGGCATCCCGCCTGGCGCCTTCGACGGCTGTCGGCTGCATGCCGCGGCGGCTGGGCTCGAAGGGGCCCTCCCTGTGGATCCTGCCTCGCGCTCGCTGGCGGGGATGGCTCGAGTCAGATCAATGTCAGCCGAAGAGGAGCAGCAAAACGCCGTGAGCGCACACTTTGGGGCGCTCCGCGCGGATTTCTCGGATCTGCGCTGGACCCCCCTCCCTGGCGCGCGGAGCGCCGGAGGCGCCGCCGGCGGGGCCCAGCGCAGATCCAAGAAGTCCGCGCGCACCGTCGACAGTTTACGGTTGTGCTTATGCAGCTTCTTCTTCTTTTTCTGTTCGGCTCCTCTCGCAAGGTCGGCTCTTGGCCAAGCAGTGGCGAGGCGTTCTGGCTCGCCGATCGCCCCACCGAACAATGTTCCAAGAACCTGTTGTGGTCTGCACGAACTGTTCTTAGAACATCTCTATCCGGGACTGTCTTGTTTTAGCACATCGGGTCCATGTTCAAAGAACATTCTTTTTGCTATTCGAACATTTTGGGGTTCTAAGAACATGTCGTGGTTGGACTACAGTCAAAAACCCTAATAAGGACGCGCGACTTTGCTCAGGGTACCCTCGCGTCCTTGCTCTTCCTTGCTCTTGCGTCCTCGATGTTTTCGTCGTCCGCCGCCCCAGAAATTCCAACTTCGGCTTCCAAGGGCCTTGCGTCCTCACCGCGCGTCCTTGTTAGGGTCTTTGACTGCAGGACTTTTAGGAATGCCGGGACGGTCGGTCCCTGCTCAAAACCTGGAGCAGGTCCGAGGGGGGGTGGGGCAGTCCGCGCAAGAGTCAGGCCGCTCCGAACTCAATTTGGCCGGTCCCTGCTCAACTTGGTGGCCTCGATCCTTGCCCGGGGACCGGCGCTGCACCCCGAGGCACCCCTGCCGAGGCCCTCACTGGGCCCGCAGCGGGCCCCCGCGGGCCGAGGTGCAGCGCGTGTGCGGCCGCCTCGCTCTCTCTCTCTCTCTCTCTCTCTCTCTCTCTGCGGCGGCGCCGGGCTCCTCGAAGGGCCCGCTGCAGCGCCTGGCCTGCAGGAGGTGTCTCCTCCCCCCTCCTGCCTCTCCACTCCTCCTCCTTCCCCCTCGTCATCCTCTCTCCTCCTGCTGCCTTCCATTCCTCCTCCTTCCCCCCCTTTCTCCTTCTTCCCCCCCCCTTCTCCTCCCGTCTGCTCCCCTTCTCCCCCTCCCCCCTCCCTCCCCCCCCCTCCTCCTCCACAATTACTCAATATGAATACTACTCCCTCCTTCCCCGATGACGGGTTGGGAGTGTTCGCCCCCCCCCCCCCCCCCCCCCCCCCCCCCCCCCCCCCCCCCGCGTATTGTTTTTTATCCACAGGATTTCGATTTCCCGGAGTTGGGTTTTCGCCTGCATGTTTGTTTCAAAATGCTGTTCTCGCTAGGGCGCCGCCCTCATTTCCGTGCTTCCGCTCGTTCCGAATCGTGTTCCCGCTGCACCCTTGGCCTCATTTCCGCGCTTCCGCTCGTTCCGAATCGTGCTCCCGCTGCAGCGCTGGCGTCATTTCCCGTGCCATGCCACGGCATGCAATGCAATGCTAGGTTGCGTTCCGCTGCGCGATGCCATGCCTTCAGCTGAAGCTGTGATATGCAGTGCTTAAGTGCCACGTCGTGCTATGCCATGCTACGGTTTGATGTTCAACGCCATGCTATGCAATGTTATCTTCGGGGCCGCTGTGCGATGCCATGCTTTGCGTTGCAAAGCTTTGTGATGCAATTCTTCACTACGCCACGCCACGCCATGCTGCGACATACTACGCTTTGCGGTGCTCTTCTACGCCATGCCATGCCGTGCTCTACAATGCATCGCGTACCCTTTCGCGATCATTGCCGTGCTCGACATCCGACTGTGCGAGTAGAGAGGGGATCTGCGCCATGGTAAGGGATGGGAGGGAGGGGTAGGATGTCAGATATGACGCGAGCGCACCTAGCTTGTCCTCCTCCTCCTCCTCCTCCACCTCCTCCTCCTCCACCTCCTCCTCCTCCTCCTCCCGGACGTCCCGAGGCCGGCCCGTGCGCCCCCCGAGAGGTGTTCTCCATCGGCCTCTGGAACGCCGTCTACGAGGGGCTCTGGGCCTACTGGGAGGGTCGGCGAAGACGGCGAGGGAGGAGGGGAGGGGAGGAGATGGATGCCGAGGCCGACGGAGGGCAACAGGAGGATGAGCAGGCAGGGCGGGGAGGAATAGGAGGAGGATGAGGAGGAGGAGGAGGAGGAGGTGGAGGAGGAGGAGGAGGAGGACAGTGAAGGCCGAGGAGGAGCTGCAGCAGCAGGAGCAGGATGAGCGGGAGGAGCGGGAGGAGCAGGAGGACCAGGGGGAAGGCGGGGGAGGGGAAAGGCGGGGGGCGACAGCGACGAGGAAGAGGAGGAGGTCCTGTCCCCTTCCGACCATCCCCTCACCTCCTCCCGTCTCTCCTCCCTTACCCTACTCCAGATTTCGTAATAAAGGGAGGGGGTCTCATTTCGGGGGGGGTCTCTTCCAGGCTATCTTGGAGGGCCTGGGGGGTCTGGGCACGATGTTCTGGCGGGTTCTCCCACGGGGGGGGGTCTGAAATGGCTTGTCTTGGAGGGTCCAGACCCCCTCCCTTTCATTACGAAATCTGGAGTACCCTCGCCTTGCACCGCCACCACCTCTCGTCTCCTGGACCCTCGACCATCTGCCCCACCCTACTCTTGAGGCTACAGCCGACCCCCGACAGGTCAATGGAGTCGTCCAGGGCGCCTAGTTCGGCTCTTGTTTCAGTCAGTCTCACTTGGTGGGGATACTGGAAGCGTTCGGGACCTCGCCCGTCGTGCGTGGAGAGTTTGAGACCTTCTGCTGCCGACTATCGAGGATGCTGGCCCTGGTGTGGTTGGCCCGGCATCCCGATCAATCTGGGGCCGCGAGATTCACGGGGGGAAGAAGCACACGGACACAAAATGAATCGTCGATCCCCGGGAAAAGATGGGGAAAGATGGGAAGCGGGGGGGAAGACGAACATCCAGAACAGATGAGAAGATGGGGTAGAGGGAAACAATTATTGAACACTCCCCCTCCCCCCAAACTCAATGTTGGCACGCGCGGGGGGGAGACTGCGGTCGAAGTGCATCTCATCAGACCCACCGCCAACTTTGAACATTGGGGGGAGGGGGAGGCGTTGACGGATGAATGTGGGATGAGTTCGCTAATTTGTTCCGAAGCCTGTATGGGGAATCCTGGGATGAGTGTCTATTATCTTTTTTGTGCCCCAGGGCCCCTCCAGAGATCCTGGAGCGGTCCGAACCTACCAGGTCGCCACGGCACGGTCCGGGTGCGCGGGCGCCCAGCGCACGCGGTTATCTCCACGGGGATGTCCGTAGCCACGGTCTCCCTCGCTTGGGCTTGCGAAGGTAAAACGACGCGAAGATCGGGACAAAATCGGATCGGGATAACTCGAAATCTCTGAGAATCGGCGGGTTTGGAGGATGTATTGGGCGCCGCGGCCGCTCCAGAGCGTTCCGGAACGCTCTGAGAGCGCTCCGGAACGCTCTGGAGCGATTAATCCCGATCCTAGCCCTGTTTTAGAAGGTGGTGTCGCCCGAGCCCCATGCCCGTAGAAGGCCAGGCCGACGAGCGCCCGCCACGTTGCGCCTTCCTGACGCGTCGCTCGCGCTGGTCATGATCCGGTATCGAGTCGCCGAGCGTGTTCCACCATTCGCAGAGTGCCTTTTCGGAAGCGTCCGAGAAGACACGCTGATCTGTATCGATGCAATATATCGTGAATCCCCCATGGCGGATCCAGGCCATTTGCGAGCAGTTATTTTGCGAGTCGTGGAACGCATTCGTCTGCTGCTTCCCGAGAGAGGAAGCATGCCAGGAGATTGTCTGTTTTTACTGGGGACGGCAAGCCAGGCGCTGTGCGTTGATTTTCCAATTTATTTTAGCCTTGATCACCAGAAAGAGTTCCGAGCACCAAGAAAGTACCGAAAGTGGAAGGCTTTCACGTGTCGGGCTCTGGGGGGCGATACTCGTTCGACACTATTTCGATACTTCTCTTGGTGCTCGAAATATTTCTGGGATGTGGTTCTTCAGTACGATGGTAGCAACATAATTCTAGACGCTTCGCGGCGGAGATGGCGGCACCGACGCGACACGCGGGCGGGCGGCCATGGCCGCGCGCCGCGCCCGCAGCCGATGGCTCGGTCATGGAACCTCCCACGGCATAGATTCACGCTGGGCTTCCTTAGTATACCGAGCGCAGGAGGGCACTCGCGCGTGCCTCAATGGCGAGCTTGGGCGGTTTCCGCTTCAGTTGGGGGACCGAGCAATGACATAAACATGAATGTTTGGCGCTCCGCGCAGATGGGGTTCGACGCGGATCCAAGAAATCCGCGAGGAGCGCCAGCAATTCTGTTTTTTTTTGGTTTTTCTTTTTCTATCCCTGGCGGGGGTGGGCGGTTCCCGCCTCATTGTGGGCGCCACGCTCCGTCACCCGTTCTGGCTGCGCACCGGCCCCAATCGCTCGCTATGCAACCCTGCGCAAGACGGGGCTGCACGTCAGCATCTCGTCGGAAGTATTGCGGCGCCATCAGAAGATGGAGTGTTCGGACGCGTCGACGCATGCTACGCCTCGGTAGAGGTGCAGAAGTCGATGGGCGCGCTCCACGCGCACTGCCAGGCTTTCGCGCAGTGCTTGCACGAACGCGCTCCGCTGGACAAGGCCTTCGAGATCGCGCGGGTAATGCGCGAGGCCACGGGCAGGCGTTCGTGGGTGACCATCTGGAATGCAAGAGCCGCCGGGCGTGTCGGCAGGTGTATTCGGAACGAGTTACAGGGAAGGGTCTCGGTGAGAAGTTGGGAGAAGCGGGTCAGGCCTAGCCCGAGTACATGACAGAGATCGTGATCGTGCGTAGGCCGATATATCTGACCTGCGCCTGCGCCGCTGCCCGAACAGCCACGCCAGCGAAAGCCGCGGAGGAGGCGTCGTCTCGGGAAAGGGGGCGCGTGCACGAGGGCGCACAAGATCTCCAGGAACGGAAGCAAAACCACGTGCATTCGAGAAACGGGATGACGGGCGAGCGGGCACCCCAGACTGTCGGAGGGGTGAACCCAAGCTGCACAAGGCGGATTATCCGCGGACGGCGCACCTCGTAGACAAAGCCGCCGCCGTCTGTCTGGGGCCAGCGTCGGCGTTACATGCTTAAGGCGGGCAGACAGAACCAGGCAGGTAGCTTGCATGGCCCCATGAATCACGAGAGCCTCAATGGAATGTACCCGTGAGTTCTACTGGCGCAGCGCTTCCACTGTGACGTGCAGTTTCCGCATCGGTTCCCGATCACAGAAGTTGCACGCGTGGAAAAGCATGCGACAAGAAAGAGTACGGCGCTGCTGTTTTCAGCGTGGCGCCGGTGGCGCAAGACGCCCAGGCAGGGTGCGCGTGAGACCTAGCGCACGATGGGGCAGCCCATGGCGCTCCACGAGGCGAAGGAGGGTCGCACAGGAATCGAAGAGCTCGGCTGGCAGCTGCAGGACGAAAGCAAGGATCGCATCGACAAGCAAGCCACGAACCGCATAATGAGCGACGCGCAAGGGAAAGGTGGAGCGCGCGAGACTTCGAGCGTTCGCAAGGGAGGAGGAAGGCGACTGCAGCAGAGTCCCTGATATCGTATCAAACGGCAGGCTTCTACGGGCGGGAGTGCGGAGTTGGTGGAACGTTTGGCTGGCGGCGTGACCAGCGGACGAAAACCCAGTTCGCGGAAGTGAACATAAGGAGCAGGATGCGGGTCGGGGTGGGGGTCAGGGTCTGTTTCGGTCCTGAAATTGTCAGCTGGGGGTCCAAGGACTGGATGTCAACAGTGTTCGATGCCGGGGCGCGGTGGAGGTTGGGGCGGGGTTCAGAATTGGTTTCGAAACAGAAATTGTCGGGCAAGGAGGCCCAGGGACGATTCCAGAAAAGGAGAGGGATGCGGGGGCGCAGCGGGGGTCGGGGCGGGGGTCAGGGTTGGATTCGGGCTACAAGTTGTCGGGCGAAAAAAGGGTCCCAGGCGCAGGGTTCCACAAGGGTGGGGGTGCCGTGGCGCGGTGTGCGTCGGGCGGAACGGCGGGGATGCTTGGGCGCGGTGGGGGTCGGTCGGGGCCAAGGCCACCGCTTCAAGCAAAAAAGCGGGCTGGTGGTGGGTCGCAAGAACAAGCTTCGAGAAGGATGGGGATGCCGGGGCGCGGTGAGGGTTGTCCCGGCGGCGAGGCCGCGGAGCGCGGGCCAGGCCCGGTGCGAGGCGGCAGCCGCTGCCTCGGCGGGGCCGCCAGCGCCTCGGCGCGACCGAATGCCGGCGCGCGGCCTGGCGCGCCCTCGCTCGTGCGCGAGGGGGCACTCAGTGGCAACAGTAGGGGGGGGATGTGCTCAGACGGGGGGGCATCGATCTTGGAGGGCCAAGCCGACCTGCTTCTAGAAGACCGACATCTGGGGCCGAAGCCAAGTACCGTGCTCACGTCCTGGCCAAAAGCGTCTATGGACGCACGGGGTGCGGTGACGTCCATGGGCGTTTTCGAGGTGGAGACGTCTAGGATCAACGTGGCCGTTACGTTCTGGGCGGTGGAAGGTCGAAGGAAGGGTAGATCCGCCTACGGTATGTTCCTGTTCTAGAGCAGGTCCCACGTGGTACTCCAACATCGACCCCCAGTCTCAAGCAACGGCGAAGCGTCCGGGCTCGCCTATAGCCCCACCAAGCAATTTTCTAAGAACCTTTTGCGATTTCCAGGAACTGTTCTTAGAACATTTCTGGCGGAGTCTCTCTTGTTTAAACACATCGGGAATATGTTCTAAGAGCATCGGTTTTAGGACAATTTCGTTGTAAGACTAGAAGAACATTCTTGGGTTCTGAGAACATTCCGTCGTAGGACTATAAAAAATGCCGGGACGGTCGGTCCCTGCTCAACAGTCGTCCCTTCATCGCTGAGAAGGGCCCGATAGGCCGCCCCGCCCAGGAAGGTGCGGATTCGCTATCGGGGGCTTCTCGTCCATCTGTCGGAAACGTAGCGCCGACTCTTGGTCGATGTTTCGCACGCTGTGCCTATCGCTGCCCCTCAGGCGAGGGGCGCCACAGTTCAGGAGGGAAAGAAACACACAAGCACAAGTAATCGTCGATTCCCCAGAAATTATGGGAAAGTATGGGAAGTGGTGGGAAAGACAAAGATCCAGAACATATGGGAAAATATAGGGGAATCTGTTTTCTTGTGTTTATCTATTTGTGTGTCCCAGTTCCCTTTCCACAGAGCACAGCAGCAGGTGCTCGAAGCACCGGGGCCTCGCGTCGTCGGCCACAGCCTGGGAGAGCAGGCCCGGTCGCCCAGGGCAGGCCCAGAAGTACCAAGGGCGCTCTCGAGGGCGCGAAGTCATTCGCGCTTCGCGGTTCGGCTCCGATTTCTCTTCATCCTCTCCTTCTCCCCTGGGAGGCGGCGCGAGAGTGCGAAGTTAGTCGCGCTTTTGCGCCTCGCGCAGCGCGGTGCGCGAAGTTGGGAGCCCTTGAGGTACGGGGGGGGGGGCCTTGCTGATCGCCGCCGCCACATTCGTGCTTCGAGCCGCTGGAGCTCTGGCCTGTAAGATCCTGCAGCCCGCCCCTGTGCCCCCCGCCCCTCCCCGCCTCTCGCCTTCCCCGCCCCTCCCCGCTCCCGCGCCCGCGCCCAAGGGGTGTTGCCCCCTTCCTCGCCCAGTCCCGCTGGCGGCGACCCCCCCCCCCGAAGGGCTCGGCACGGTCGAGCCGGGCACTCACGGGCAGTGTTGGGACGAAGATTGTGACGATGACGGTGCTTGTTTGATGCTGAGAGCCCTTTGCACTCGCGACCACAGTGGGAACCCGTGCCAAGAAACACCCTGCTCGCCTCCAGGTTGCCCTGGGTTTCCTGGGTTTCGATGGCCTTGCTTGGTAAGCGTAACGTCCCCACACCAAAAAGCAATGGATGTCCTGGGGTCTCAGGGTTGGGTTTCTCGTGGAAGGTTTCTGGTGGTCGAGCTCCTGCTGCATGACGTCGGGCTCGCGCAGCGCTTTGGCGAGGCTGTGCTGCGGACTCGGTGCCTGGGCTCTTCGAGCCCACGCCATCGTCACCGCCGCAAGGACAGGCTCTCCTCGCGCGACAACAGCCGCCTCTGGGCAGGACAGGGGGGGGGGGGGGGGCGGGGCCGGCAGATCCGCGATCCTCGCGCCGGCGCCGCCCGGGAACTGCAGTTGCCCCGCAGGCTCGGCGCCTCGCCTCGCCTCGCCTCGCCGGCGAGAAGCGTGCCGCTGCCGTGCAGGGGCAGCGGGGTCCCGGGCCCGCGCGCCCTGGGCCGCTAGCAGCCTGCTCCCGGCCCATCTTCAGCGGGGGCGGAACAGAGGGGGGTGATGACTAGGGGGGGGAGGATATCATGGCGTGGGCCATGATATTTCCCCAGATTTCATGGCGCCTCTTCTCATTTCCTGACGTCCCTGGCCCCCCCGCTGGGCCGCGCACATGCCGCCGGTCATGATTTGCACCCCCCCTCTTGGACGCCCCCTCTTTGCCGCTCCCGACTTCAGCAGGGCTGCAGGTGATCGCCGCAGACGCTGCTCCCCGGAGACGGAAACGGGGGCGCCTGCCCAGCAGCGGCCACTGCCTCCTCTGGGACAGCGTTGGCTGTTGGGCATCGGGCTCGCTCTTTCCCGCGAGTGCCCGCGTCGGGCCCAGACGCGGCGCCTGTGCGCCGTGCCCCCTGCCAGCGGCGCGCGGCGCCGAGGTTCCTGTTCATGGGGCCCCCGATGGCCATCAAGTGGGTCAGACCCGCGTCGCCACCGGGGCGGGTCGGGCGGGCATGCCAGCCCGTGGGGGAGCGCTGCGTGGCAGGCAACGAGACGACGAGGCAGAGGAGGAGGCGGAGGAGGAGGAGCAGAGGAAGAGGGGGAGGGGGAGGAGCCGGGGAAGAGGAGGAGAAGGAGGCGGAGGAGGAGGCGAAGGAGGAGGCAGAGGAGGAGGAGGAGGCAGAGGAGGAGGAGGAGGAGGAGGAGGAGGAGGAGGAGGAGGAGGAGGCCGTGACGCCGATATCGACAGCGACAGCGACAGTAGAAGGGGGAGGAATGGGGACCAGGAAGGGGAGGAATAGTACGAGGAGGCGAGCGGCAGGAGGCGGAGAGAGGGGAGGAGAAGGTGAAAGGAGAGGGAGGCGGAGGATGAGGATGGAGATGAGCAGGATGATTGAACAGACGGAGGATGAGAAGGAACACGGAGGTGCTGGATACGGGTCGAGGAGAAGGTGGATGTGGAGCAGGTCGAAGATCAGGATTGAAGTGGTGCTCGTCCTTTTTGATCCTCCTGCCTCTTTCTGCGTTATACTCCTCTCCTTCCAAGCCGTTGAGTCGCCTCGGTGCCGCTCGCAGACGAAGTCACATGAGCCCGTTTGCCGGATCATCAACATGAGGCGCCGCCTGTGGGGCCGTCTGGGCTTCGTGAGGTCCCCCCCGCCGCCTTCGGCAGCAAGCCATGGGAGCCTTGTAGATCGTCGCACATCCGTCTTTGGAGTACACTAGCGTGCCCTAGCTTCAGGTGGTCGACGAGAAACTCAGATGTGCGTCGATATGCGTCGACTAGCGTGTCGGTTAGCGTCGGCTAGCGCTGTTTTCGCACGGGCCAGCAAGATGGCATTGGAGGAGGCTCCCGCCCAGACCTTCCAGGAGGGCTTTCTAAATTCCAGATGAGGCTTTGAGCAGGCAGAGATAGGTCTGTAGGTCTGAAAGAGCGCGTTCTGTGGTCGCTTACAGGCGGGGGGGTTTGGAACGGGACCCCGCCCCCCCCCCCCCTGGATGGAGGGGGGGGGTTCGAACCCCCTCCTCCCCCACCTCCCGGGACGGAGGGGAGGGGGTTCAACCCCCCCCCTCCTTGCTTCCCCTCTCCTCGGGCCAGCGCTTGCGTGGGCGGCGGCTGGCGACGGCGGCGAAGGCGAAGATTTCCATTTCTGGGCCAGCGCCGGCCGGCGCTTGCGGCGGCGGGCGGCGGTGGCGGGGAGCGTCGACGAGGGCGACGGTGGTATTGGTGGTGGTGGTGATGGGTTGTGGTGGTGGTGGTGGTGGTCGTGGCGGTGGTGGTGGTTGTGGTGGTGGTAGTGGGGTTGTTTGTTGTTGTGGTGGTGGTTGTGGCGGTCGGTGGTGGTGGTGGTTTGGTGGTGGTGTGGTGGTGGTTGTGGTGGTGGTGGTGGTGGTGGTGGTTGTGGTGGTGGTGGTGGTTTGGTGGTGGTGTGGTGGTGGTTTGTGGTGGTTATGGAGATTGTTTGTGCTGGTGGTGGTGGTGGTGGCGGTGGTGGTGGTGTGGTGGTCTGGTGGTGGTGGGTTGTCCTGCTGGTCGTGGTGGTGGTTCTGGCGGTGGTGGTGGTGTGGTAGATTGTGGTGGTAGTGGTGGTGGGTTTTTGTGGTGGTGGTGGTGATGGTGAGTTGTGGTGGTGGTGGTGGTGGTTTGGTGGTGGTGTGGTGGTGGTGTGGTGGTGGTTCGTGGTGGAGGTAGTGGTGGTGGGTTGTGGTGGTGGTGGTGGTGGTGGTGGTTTGTGGACGTTTGTTGTGGTGGTTGTGGTGGCGGTAGTAGTGGTGGTGGTGGTGTGGTGGTTTGTGGTTGTGGCGGTGGTTTCTTTTGCTGGTAGTGGCTGTGATGGTGGTGGTGATGGGTTGTGGTGGTTGTGGTGGTGGTCGTGGCGGTGGTGGTGGTTGTGGTGGTGGTGGTGGGGTTGTTTGTTGTTGTGGTGGTGGTTGTGGCGGTGGGTGGTGGTGGTGGTTTGGTGGTGGTGTGGTGGTGGTTTGTGGTGGTTATGGTGGTGGTTGTTGTGGTGGTGGTTTGGTGGTGGTGTCGTGGTGGTTTGTGGTGGATGTGGAGATTGTTTGTGCTGGTGGTGGTGGTGGTGGCGGTGGTGGTGGTGTGGTGGTTTGTGGTGGTGGTGGTGGTGGGTTGTCCTGCTGGTCGTGGTGGTGGTTCTGGCGGTGGTGGTGGTGTGGTAGATTGTGGTGGTGGTGGTGGTAGTGGTGGTGGGTTTTTGTGGTGGTGGTGGTGGTGATGGTGAGTTGTGGTGGTGGTGGTGGTTGTGGTGGTGTGGTGGTGGTGTGGTGGTGGTTCGTGGTGGAGGTGGTGGTGGTGGATTGTGGTGGTGGTGGTGGTTTGTGGACGTTCTTTGTGGTGGTTGTGGTGGCGGTGGTAGTGGTGGTGATGGTGTGGTGGTTTGTGGTTGTGGCGGTGGTTTGTTTTGCTGGTAGTGGTTGTGGCGGTGGTGGTGGTGGTGGTGGTGTTGTGGTAGATTGTGGCAGTGGTGGTGGTGGTGGTGGTTTGGTGGTGGGTTTTTGTGGTGGTGGTGGTTGTGGTGATGGTGAGCTGTGGTGGTGGTTGTGGTGGTGGTTGTGGTGGTGGCTGTGGTGGTGGTGGGTTGTGTAGTGCTGTTGGTGGTGGTGGTGATGGTGGGTTGAGGCGGTTGTGGTGGTAGTGGTGGTGGTCGTGGTAGTGGTGGTAGTCGTCGCTGCGTCCCCGCCGTCGCTGGCGCCAGCGCCGGCGCTGCTGGCTGCCGCGGGTTGAACCCCCCCCCCTCCAGGCGCCAGGGGGGGGTTTGAACCCCCCCCCACTCCCCCCTTAGCTGCCTGTGGTCATCGTCGCAGCGCCGGCGCCGAGGGGGGGTGTTCGGGATGGGGGGGGGGTGGGAGGGAGGGGGCCGGGGAGTCCCCCTGGTTTTGATCGACGGCGCCGAGTGTTGGGGGAGGGGGCCCACCCCTGGGTTTGAAACGCGCCGCCGAACGTTCCCAAGGCAAGCGCCCGTGAAACGCGTTCTCGAAGGTCTGGAGGGCTATTTTGTCATGGGGGTGACCTAAATAGGGGGGGGGAGAGACAGGACCCCTTTAGGGCCCTTCTCTTCACCGTCATCAGGTCGCCACCTTCCCTGACCTTCCAGAGTGTTGCGAAATAGCTCTCAAGACCTACAGACCGATCTCGACCTGCTTACAAGCTCTACTGGCCCAGGGTGCTGCAAAATAGCCCCTCAGACCTGCAGGCCTATCTAGGTCCGTTTGAAAAGACCTCGACGGGAAGCTTGATGTCGAGGTCCTGGTGCCATGTCCGAATCCTCCTGGAGATCCTCCCCCCCCGCCTGCTTTGCCCGCTGCCCGCTGCCGGGGCCCGACGATGCAGGGGGCTCTGCCGCACGTCCCCTCGCGCCGCCGGGGGGGCCCCTGCGGGGGGCTCCATGGGCGGGGGCGGGGGCCTCCTCCCCGGCGGCGGCGGCGGCAGGCCCGCGGCGGCGGCTCCCCCTCCCCCCCCCCCCCCCGCGCCCCCCCCGGCGGGGGGGCCCCCGTGCCGCGCCCGCCCGCGGCCCGGGCGCCCGCGGGGCCCGGCGCCCATGCCCGAGACGGGCCGGGGCCGCGGGCCGGGCGCGGAGGGCGGCGCCGCAGGCGCGGCTGCTGCGGCGGAGGCCCGCGGGGGGCCCCTCGGCGCCTCGGCCGCCGCCTCCTGCCAGCGGGTGCGGGCCCAGAGCCCCGCCGAGGAGCGGAGCTCGAGGGTCGAGGCTCGAGGATCGAGGATCTCGAAGCTCGAGGGTCGAAGCTCGAGGATCGAGGCTCGAGGCTCGAAGCTCGAGGAGCGAGACGACCGAAATGGGCACGGAAAGAATGGGCACACTGCCCACCAGCAGTCCCTGTTCATTTTGGACAGGACTCGCTGTCGGTGTCGCCGCGGCCCGTGTCCAGTTGAGACAGAAGGCCGCCTGCCCAACAGCGGCCGCTGTTGGTTTAAAACAGCATTTGCGGTTGGGCATTGTTCCCATTATGTCCGTACCCATTTCGGGCGTCCAAATTCCAGCAGGTGCGGGCCCAGACCCCCGCCGAGGATCGAAGCTCGAGGGTCGGAGCTCGAGGATCGAGGCTCGAGTGTCGAAGCTCGAGGATCGAGGAGGCGGATACCTCGCCTTCCGTGTCCGCCCGGAGAGGGCCGCCGGGTCGCAGTGCGCTGGCCGTCCTTCCTCCTCCTGTTCCTCCACCTCTCGGGCTCCTCTTCCCCCGCAACCTGAACAACACAAGCCTGCCTAAACATGCTTTATCTGAGGTCTGCGCGGATTTCTTGGATCGGCGTGGGGCCTCCGCGGCGGCGGCGCGCTCTGCGCGCCATGCATGGGGGGTCCAGTGCCGACGCTGAATTTCCCGCGGGCGCCTTTCCAGCCGTTCAAGCTTCTTCTTTCCCGCCCGCTCGAAGCCAGTGGAGCCCCGACGCTGAATTTCCCGCGGGCGCCTGTCCAGACCCCTTGCAAGCAGAATGAATCTCTGTCCGAAGCCCCTCGGCCCTCGGCCTGCGGCTGCCGGCGTCAAAATAGATGCACGCCTTCCTGTCCAGAGGCCCATAAGACGCACTTGGAAAAATCCTCTTCACCTGAACTGAATCAGAACACCTGCGAGTCCAAACTTTCGGAGGTCCGCGCGGATCTCTTGGATCGGCATTGGGACCCCCCTGCCTGGCGCGCGGAAAGCGCCAGCGGCGGCGCCAGGGGCGCTGCCGCCAGGGGTGTCAGCGCCGAGCCAACAGCAAGGACCTCCGACAGTTTATGCTTATGCATTTTCCTGTTGTTCCCAAGCCAGAGTACATCCGAGGCCACACAGAACCAGTCCGAGGAGGTCTCCTCCCTCCCCTCCCCCCAGGCGGGCGGCTCCATGCGCCGGCTGCTGGTCCTAACGGACGTGGGCGAGGAGATCGACGACGAGGCAGCAGGGGCCTCTCGGCTGTGGGCGGGGCGGACGCGGTGGTTCGGCGACGTGCAGGGTGGGGCCTCGGGAGGAAGGAGGAGGAGAACAAGAAGGAGGAGGAGGAGGCAGTTGGGGAGGTGGAGAGGTCACAGGAGGGCGAGTTGAGGCAGCCGTGGTTGGCCTGCGACAGGCCCCCTATCGTCGCTACGGCTGAAAGCAGCTTGGAAAACCGACACGTTTAGGCTCGATGAGGGGTCTGGGAATCGATGTTCGGCTGCCGTTGCCTCAATTCGCCTTGCTCCGAAAATGGGGAGGCAAGGGGCGGGTGGGGGGGGAGGAGGAGGAGGAGGAGGAGGGGGAGGGGGGAGCTGAAGGGGGTAGGGAGGAGGAGGTCTTCCGTAAGGGGGGGGAGAGACCGGATGATCGAGGTAACGAAAAGGACGGGGCGAGGTTGTCCAGAAACGGGGTTGGGGCGCTGTAGGAAGGGGAAGTAGACGACAAGAAGGGGGAAGGGGAGTGGGAGTACAGGGATAATGGGAATATAAGGATGCTTCAAGTGAGGAGGTGGAGGGGGAGGGAGAAGGAGGAGGAGGAGGAGGAGGAGGAGGATGAGGAGGGTGGAGTGTATCTTCGATGAGAGGGGGAGATGTGGATGATGATGAAGAAATGCGAGGGGACGGGGAAGGCGAGGGGTGGTGGGGTCTGTGCGGGAGGGGGAGCATTGGGGGAGTAAGACAATGAACTCGATGAGGGCGAGGATTAATTACTACTACTGCAGCACGCAGACTCTCTCCTACGGCGCTGTCGAACTCCCATCTCCCATGCAAGTTCGGCGGTGGAGGGAGCCCGGGAGGCCAGCCAGGGCCTGCGCAGCCGGAGGAGGGAAGGATGGCGAGGCGAGGAGCGTGGACGGGAGTGTGCTACAAAGAAGCGCAGGGAACAAAGCAACTCGTTCAGGTGCTGGCGGACAGACCTCCTACCCTGACGCGTCGATTGAGGAATTGGCCGTTTTCGGTGGGCGTCGCGGCCGTCATTTCTGCGGGTCCAGGTCCGTCGGTTTCGGTCCCAGGCCGTTTTCACTAAGGGGAGGTCTGCTAAAGGGAGGTTTGTCCACCGCCGATTCAGGTGCTGGGGGTCAGCGAGCGGGTGCATGCTGAGCGGAGCGACGCCGACGGCGGACGAAGGCACGGGGACCTTCAGCCCAGCATCATCGATCAGCGGAGGAGGCAGCGCAGAGTGCGGGCGGCTGCGAGCGTGCACGCCAGCGCCTCGTGGCTGCCAGGCACCGCGCGGCGGATTTGCTGCGGGGGCGGGGGGTAGAGGATGTGGGGATGGGGTGGTGTCTGCCACCGCATGACGGATATCTGAGGGGGTCACGTTCCGTTCCCAGCGTCGGCATTCTTGGCCCTCCCCCGCCGAGCACCCCGTGGTCGCTCGTGGAGGGGCAGGCGTGGCGAGGCACGACGCCTCGCCCCACACCGGGTCTCTGAAGCTGAGGGCCGCCAGCCGCCGCCTCGCACGGGTTCTGTCGAGCGCTTCCCCCCGCCGGCGGAGGCTTGTGCCCTCATGGGCACTGAGGTCTTTCAGGTCCTCGTAGTGCCCCTCCCCTCTTTGAGGTCCGTCGGTGCCCCGCTGAGGGCCTCTCCTGGAATATCGGTTGAGCCTGGGGCGTCTTGGGGCCGTCGGGGATGGTCTCCCCGTCTGGGAGTGGTCATCGGCTTTCCTGGGTCAGCTGGGTGTTGAGGTCAAGGAGTGGTTGGGTTGCCATATTGGTCCTTTCTTGAGTCGCCTCCAGCCCCAAGGGACCGTGCTGACGCTCGATGCCGTAATTATCCATGTTTGAATAAGTGAACGAATAAGTGAACGAAACTTATATCCATGACGAAATGTATTAGCCACCAGTCCCACTCGACCGTAGAGTGGATTGGTGCAGCGTGGCTCCTGGACCTCCCTCCATGATGCGTTGAGCACACGGAACAATTCGCCGTCGACATAGCGGGCCGCGTGGTGGGAGAAGGCGAGCACGATGACGTAACCCACCCCGATGTTGCCCGCACAAGTGGTACCGACGTCCATAGAAACCTCTGGCAGTTCAAATCGATGCGTCAGCGCGTGCCTGTCAGTATTGAAGGTGTTTGGCCAGCCCGTAGTGATTGGCAATCTGCCTCGCGTTCTCCAGGTGATCAGCCCTCCTCCTCCTCCTCCCCCTCCTCCTCCTCCTCCTCCTCCTCGTCCTCCTCCTCCTCCTCCTCCTCTTCCTCCTCCTCCTCCTCCTCCTCCTCCTCCTCCCCTTCTGTTTGTGTCGACTTCGGGCCCGGAGCTGATGATCGCAGGGCTGGTCTTCGCGCAGCTGTTCACAGCCGCGGTCCTAGCAGTGACCGCGCTGGGAAGGGAGGCCGCTCTTTGGATGTTGACGCAGCACTTGCGGAACAACTCCGATGTAGAGGCCGCCTGCACCGGTTGTGCGTTCGCGCGTGAGGGACGCTTGTGGTTGTTGTGCGCACGCGTGTGACGGTGTTGATTTCGTGGTGTCATGGGGTGGTTGTTGTGCGCACGCGTTGGATGGTGTGTCCATGTTGCTACTGTGGCGAATATCGAACGGAGCATATTGATGGTGTGAGCTTTACGGGCGCACTAGGAATGGTTAAGTTGCGGGTGATCTTCAAATGTGCGTCTTCGTTGGCAGATGGTGCCCAATTGAGTGTCAGTTCTAAAGGTTGTCCGATGTGGGTAGCCTGGGTGACGCATTGGCCAGCCATTGTATACCAACGCGGACTGACGCCCCAAGCAATCCAGAATTCCGTGGATTGCCCAGCTTTGTTGCCGCGAAGTATGTGTTGTCCAGTGGCCCTCGCCCAATCCACCCATGCACGGTACGGAAACGATATGTCCTGCGTTCCTTCGCTCCCCCTCCATCCGCCCACCCCTCCGGTAATGCCAGCGAGGGCTCAGTCGTCTTCCAGGGTATTGCGACATACCGCGAATCCAGGAGCGCGACTGGGAAGACGCGCAGGCGGTCTGGGAATGCGCGCTTCGATGGTGTGGCGTGTCGTGTCGGAAGTTATCTTTGCATGGTTGCTGCGTTGCTTATATTGGAGACCTCTCGGGGCCTCTGATGAGCTTCATTTAGTCGATTCCTCTGGCGATCTGTTCCCCAGGTCTGGGGTTCATCTTCGGGGGTGAGTGACGTGCAGCATGCAAAATCCAAATTGGTCAGAGTGAGGGGGCCAAACGGTCTTACACCATTCTTGCATGCTTGGCTGAAGTAGGGTTCTGTTGTGCGGAGTCGTCGTTGAATGTGTATCTGTTAGGAACATTCTTCATATTGATCCGTGCCCCTTCGGCGCCCATCGTTTTTTAATTGAAGTACGATTCCCGGGGCTCGTACATTGATGTTTTCACAGGAAAGTCGCGGGCCTCAGACTACGCTGTGCGCCCCCGAGATACTACAACAACGGCTCCTGCCTGGCACTTCCACAATTGATTGAAGATTCGCGCTCTTCCGTGGGGCATCCTTGCAATTCACCAAGGTGTCGTGCTCTCGCCTCTGACTTCCTGGCAATTCACTCAGACGCCGCGCCCTCGACACTCAGGAATCACGCCCTGGCTGTTGACGTCCTCAAGATGTAATCGGGAATCGCGCAACCGCCAGAGACTTCAGCGCGATTCATGCAGGACTGACGCTTCAGAGACCCCCCCGCCCGCCCGCCCGACCCGCCAGTTAGGGTCCGCCCGCCCGACCCGCCTGTCTCGTTCTGCCGCTTGGCGTTCTGCTCCTAACCCCCCCTTCTACTAATCTCTCTCGTGTCCCATTCTTCTCTCTCCATGCTTACCAACCTGGAACATTTCCGTGTTTCTTTGATTGGCATCATGTGATGTCGATTCCGATCTTAAGGATTCCACCAGTTTCTGAGGGCACATCCCTAAAAATGTCATCGCTGTTGGTCTTGCCAATCATAGGGGCAGGGTTAAGTTCGAGACTGATTACCCTTGCCCCTGCCTTCCTGCTTAGGCTTTTTGGGAAGTCGCCCGCTACACAAGCTGAGTACTCTTTGAAGAATCCTTGCGCACGGCCTCTAGGATTTCCTAGCATCCACATCTAAGAATTGGCTATGATTTGCAGGAGGAACAGCTGCGACCTCTTCATTATCCCCTCCCCCGCAGGCAGTTTTCGCGGGGGCCTTGGTAACGAATGCTGTTTAGTGGTAATGGTTGCCAGGAACACGTAAGTGAAAGCGATGTGGGACATGAGAAGTGTGCATGGACGAATTGTGGTGTAGATCTGGGCGATCAGGAGGACTTCGGGAGATTAAGAGAGTGGGGGAGGGGGCAGCACGAGAGAGGGAGAGAGAGGGAGAGAGAGAGAGAGAGAGAGAGAGAGGGACCGAGAGTCAGAGCAGAGAAAGAGAGACAGAGAGAGAGAGAGAGAGAGAAAGAGAGACAAAGGCGCAGCCGGAAAGGGATATTGATGACATGCACACAACTAGGTTCATAGGTGCACATTTTTGTGCATGTATGTATGTTTTCGTATGTGCATACATTCATAGGAATGTGCATAAATACATATCTACAACCACAGTATATGTATATGACGAGAGATAACAAACAAGCGAGATAGAGAGAGAGAGAGAGCGAGCGAACGAGCGATCGAGAGATGGAGAGAGAAGAGTGATTTCGCTGCCGAGGCACCCCACATACTTCTTCCAAGCCGCTTGTATGCACTCAGCATGTGCGTCGCATCCTGACGCGTGCACGTACAGTGTGAATGTTTTTTTCAGATGGTCATCCTGCGCACCACTGCTTGAACCTCTTCCCTCCGCCCCCTACCCACAGCGGGGCAGGATGCTGGGTGGCCGCCGAGGGCCGTTCTCTCGGAGCGGCCTGGAGTGATCTTTTCTCCCTTCCGCCCTGCTGCTGTCCACCTGGCCCCCCCACTTCCTCTTTTCCTTCTCCTCCTCCTCCTCCTCCTCCTCCTTCTCCTCCTCCTCTTCCTCTCTTTCCCTTTCGATCGGCCAGTCAGTGTTTCTCGCATTCTCCACGTCTCTCACAGCATCTCTTCGACGGAGAATCTCCGAGATGCGCGCAAGGCAATGAAGGGACAGTTTAAACCGTCGGCATACAGACAGTGGGGATGCTCTTCGATGGAAGAATCTCTGGGTCACGGCTGGCATGCAGACGTGTGATCGGCGGGCATTGCGAATCCGTTTGGCAGCGGCCCTGACCGTGCGAATTCGATGCGGCTAGACAGCGCTGCCTTCGTCGGTCCGGCGCCCCGTTCTGCCAGAGCTGCATGGGCCTCTCAATTGGAGCCATCCAGAGTGCGCGCGGACTCCATACACTTCCATGGCCTTTTTTTGCCCCACTTGCGTCATCTTGGAGAACCCCTACCAAAAACTCCACTGATTAAATAAATAAGGGAAGCGGTCGACCAAATATTGTTCCCCAGAATGGGTTCAGGTAGTTATCATGACTCACCGCCACCAAGTTGTTGTTCGTCAAGCTTCGCTGCGAAAGCAGTCGGCACAATCGCCGAAATCAAGGCTACGCAGCGTTATTTCAAACACTCGGTTTCGTTAAGCCGTCGCTATGGATCCGCAGTGCTGCTCGTCCGCGGCCTTTTTTTTGCTGTTTCTGTCCTCTTAGTGATAAATTTTCTTGATGGTTCGCTCTTCTGGGTCTTGTTTTGAATCGGCAATCTCCCGCGTGCTCGCTTCGCTCCACTTCGAAATGGCCGGTTTGTAACGAGGTGTTTGTTGTTCTGGATAATGCGCGAGCTCTCGCCCGCGCACCCCCCCGGCCCACGCGCAGTCTTCTGGCCCCCGTGTTTCGCGAGCCCGAAACGGACAGCGACCGCGGCCCCACAGCGCCCCCTTGTACTGTCGAGGAAGCGCCACGCTTGCAGCACTTTGCGAGCCAGAAACGGATGGCGACCGCGAGCCCAAAGCACACTCTGTGGCGCCCAGAAGATGCCACGCCTGCCACGCTTTGCCAACCCGAAATGGATAGCGGCTGCACCCCCGGCGCACGCCCTTGGAGCCGAGGCAAATACACAATCACCACGCATGCCGAGCGCGAAACGGATAGCGGCCGCACCCCAGCGCCCCCCTGGTCGAGGAGACGCCACGTCTGCCACACTTCGCGAGCCCGAAATGAAAAGCGACCGCACCCCCGAATCACCCCCTGTGGAGTCGCGAAAATATCACGCTTGCTACGCTTCCCGCACCCCCAGCGCACCCTATGCAACATTGAAGGATTACCACGCCTGCCCCGCTTTGCGAGCCCGAAACGGATAGCGACCGCGCCCCCAGTGCGCCCACAGGCGTAAAAAACACGCCTGCCACCGAATCCGACGTGTATGAATGGTGCGGTTGTGCGTGGACGTGTAGTTCACGTGCGTGCCTTAGTATGTGGTGCGTACGCCTGGGGTGTATGATGCAATCTACACGCCAGCTCGCGCCTAACGTCGTATTAGGGTGCGCCCGCCGCTGTAGATGCGTGCGTGTCCGATGCGATGGCGTTGAAAGCACCAGGTGCCATCCCTCCCCAACTCGCGTGTGGTGTGTATGCGTGCTGCGTGTATAGGTGCTGCATATGGCCGCGCGTATCATGCCAATGCTGCGCATGCGTCGCATGCGTCGGGTAGGAGATTCGGGCTTGGCGCGGGCGGGGTGGAAAAACGAGGACGAGATGGACACGGGAGGAAGTGAGGAAGAGAGAGTGTGGCCGAGGAGCGCGGGTGCGACGTGGGTGGGAAGACCACCAGTGACCCACTAAGCATGTGGTGGGAACATATTTACGTATAGCGAGAGGAAGAGAAGCAGAAAGAGAGAGAGAGAGAGAGAGAGAGAGCGAGAGAAAAAGAGAAACCAAACCGAACATCTATATACATATACACATAATATATATATATATATATATATATATATATATATATATAAATACAGACATATGTATAGCTAGGGTGGGAGGGGCACATCTACAAACCTGTACGTAAAAGAATCAGAAAGAGAAGGACACAGCTTGCACGAGAAAGAGAGAGAGAGGGATTGAGGGAGAGAGAGAGAGAGGGGGAGAGAGAGGGAGAGAGATAGGGAGAGAGAGAGAGAGAGAGACCAGCACGTCGAGAGCGGTTTATACACATAGACAGGATGAGCGGGAGAAGAGAAACAACATCATACATGTAGAGAGAAAGAGAGAAAAACATAGACAACGATACGTATATTCACATATCTATACATATACACATATGGACGTATCTATATACATAGAAAGAGGGAGGGATAACTCATAAACAGGAATTCATACAACTACCGCGGTGGAGCCAGAGAGAAAGAGAGAGAGAGAGTACGAGAGCGAGATAGGAGATATAGCCACACGTGCGAGAGGCAGGAGGGACCTCAGCGGCCCCTGCCCGCGGAGGCCGACGTGGTCTTCACGACCGGGAACACGGCGCGCCGCCCGTCGCATTCCAAATTCTCGAGCGAAGTTTTGTTCGGCGAGCGTCACGTGGCAAATGCCAGCTGCCGTTGCGCTGCAGCTGCTATGTACAGTGCCGTTTTTAATACATGCTCCGCGTGCGGATCATGTATTAAAAATGCAGGGAGTTAGTATCAACAACAACGATGAGTTCATGCACACATTCATTCATGAATTAATCATGTAGTAAAAAACAATATTAAAACAAAAATCCGATGTATTAAAAACTGTCCTCTACTACAGACCGAACCGCCCCAGCCCAACCCGAAGGCCACCCGAAGGGCACCGGACACGTCAAATGTTCAGGTGGTCTGGGGGCGGGCGTCCCGCTTCCACGAGCAGCCTGACGCGCTCCGTCGCCAAGCTGGGCGGCACAACGGCTGCATGTGTCGGGGCGGCCCTGTTCCCGATCTGTGGATCCGGCACGCACGCGCAAGATCCACGGATCCGTACTCCATGGCAGCGGGTGCCCGGCCGTGCCTATTCGGAGCTTCTGCCGCTGCACGGGTGCTCGAGCGTGCTCCTGCCCCGAGGGCGCGTTCCGCAGGCCCCCTCTCCGCGGCGTCTTCGTCCCCTGCCCGCGCCCTGGTGCCAATCAGGGATTGCAAAAAAACCCTGGGGTTTCAAAACAACCCTGGGTTTTTTTGCAATCCTGGGTTTTTTTTGCAATCCTGGGGTGTTTTTTTTTGCAATCCTGGTTTTTGTTTTGCAATCCAGGGTTTTTTTGCAATCCTTCGTTCGGCATCCCCACCGGGCTCTTTCGATCTGTGCAAGCACCAGGCCCACGACTAGAAGGGTGCGCCCGACGGTGGGGATGGGGATCCCTTGAACGGTGCCCACAGGTGCAGCGGGCGATGCGCTGGGGGGAGATCCTCGCCACCCTCGAGGACGGGGCCGCGAGGCCGCAGCGGCCGGCGGCCGCGGAAAACGAGCGGGCCCGTACTGGCGCTTTCGGGGCCAAGTACCGTTCAGTTTATCGCTCATCGTTCATCCTGGTTCTTTCGGAGCCGAGAAGGTGAAGACTGTGTTTTTGATCCCCGGGCGATAGCGGGCGTGACCGGGATAGGGGGAGAGGAGCGAGGGCGGTCATGTCACGATTCGCGCTGGCGTCGTTTGGGAATGCCGAAGAATGGCTAGTTCCAAGATAGCGCTGGCCCGAATCGTGCCATGACAAGTAGGCGGGGGGGAGGGCGGGGCCACTGACGGGCGTGACACCGTGATAGCTCATGTTTCGTCCCTTCTTTGCCGTTCCTCGTGGAGATTGTTTCTTATCCGCTGGCGCGTAACTGTCGCTACCCAGGCCACCCGCCCCTTCGCCCCCCCGGTAACGGTGACGATCCCACGTAGGGGAAGGGGGCCCTGCACCATCCCCCACATGATGGTGTTCGCGCGCACATGATTGCGGTCGCACGTCCAGGCGTTCCCGTTACCCGCCCGCCTTGGTAACGACCGTTGCCGGAAATTACATAATATACATATATATATATATATATATATATATCATGGTAGCAGTCTGACCGTGTGCCATCCCTCCTCTCGGGAGGGGGTCGTAGAGTATAGCCCTAAAGCCCTATAGACCTGTAGCCCTATGGCCCTATAGCCCTATAGTTCCATGGCCCTATAGCCCCATAAGCCCCATTGCCCTATAGCCCCATAGCCTTATAGCCCTAAAGAGACTTTGATTGGGGCTTTTCTCCGGTATGATTTTTGTCTCCCCAGACCCAACCTGCGCTCTCGCCCCCCCCCACCATCGAGGCGCCTTCGGGGTGCCTCGACGGCCAGGTTATGACGACGGCGACCAAAATGGTGACGGCACGGCGGCGGCGACGATGGCGGCGAGGGCGACGATGGCAGCCACGGCGACGACGGCGGCGACGCCGCGCCTGCGACGACAACTCCGCGGGTAGATTTGCGTCGCGTCGACCCGGGACGACCCCGCCGCCAGCGTTCAACGTTGACCGGTCGATGTTGAGCTATCCTGCGTTTAGGAATCGGCCGATTGTCCGATGTTGAACAGTCCCCGCGGTGTCAGGAACCAACGCCGAAGCCGGCACGAGACGAAGCTGCCGTAAGCGGGCTGGGTTGGCGCAGGCCGAGCGGCGGGCGGCTGCGCTACTTCCTGGGCCCGCGCACGGCTAGGCCGCGCAGCCCCTCCTTGTTGAACAGCGGGAGGAGCGAGGGGCGAGGAATGAAAACCGACGGTCCTTGACGTTCTCGCGCCGTGACAGTCTAGCAGCCTTCGGCCAATCCCGCCACCGTGCCTGGGTTGTGGGTCGCAGGCCTCCAGGAGGTTCGCTGGGATCTCGCGGGGGCCTCTCGGAGGCCTGCTGCCGTGTGGAGGCCTCTTGGGAGCCGTTTGGGGGCTTGTCGGTGCGTCCTGCGGGCCTCTTGGGGGTCTCTGCGGGCCTCAATACAAGGCGCATCCTCAGGGGCCTCCTGGGGGGTTTTTGGGGCCGGAAGTCTCCGATGTTCCGGTCGTGTTCCCCCTCTTGGGCCGTTCTTGGCCCTGCCTGTGGGCCTTCTTGGGCCGTCCTGGGCGGCCCTGGGGCCATTTGCGGGCCTCCTCTGGGGCCTCTTTCGCTGTCTTGGGACGGTCTTAGGGTCTTGGGCCGTCATGGAGCGCTGGAAGCTCGCAAAGCCGAGTGCCCCCCGAAACATAAAAAACACACCAAAGAAAAAACGCTATTTTGTTGCATCTCGGAGCCCTCTAGGGGCGGCTCTTGGAGGCCTCTTCGGACATCTCGGGAGCTTTCTCAGCCGACTGGAGACCATCTTGGGCGTCTTGGACCGATCGGGCGGCGATTCGGTGCCCTCTTGGACCGTCTTGGGGCCCTCTTGCCCAGGGAATCCCCGGCAATCCTAGGAAATCTGCAAGAATCCCCGGGAATCCCCGGATGTTCCCGGAGGTCCCGGGGAATCCTTGGAAATCCTAGTGAAACCCGTGGTCCGGGCCTCTTAACTCTTCATTGCTCAGGGCTGCATGAGCCTTGGAAGACTCCACTACACACTGAAGGCACGCTTGCGGATATTCGTGACGGCTGGCTTTTGGCTTTTCTCGGCCTCCCGAGGCCTTCACCAGCCCCCAGCTTCATCCCGCAATGAAGACCCGGTCCCTGGCAAGGGGTCCAGACACTTGAGGCGCCAACGACGTAGCGAAACAAATGGCTTCGTCGGATGCACAGTGGGAACCTATGCCAAGAAACACCCTGCTTGCCTCCAGGGTGCCCTGGGTTTCTTGGGTTTCGATGGTCTCATTATGGAAAGCGTGACGTTCCCGCACTAACAAACTCTCAGGGTTGGGTTTCTTGTGGAAGGTTCCTTGTGGTCGAGCTCTTCTAGTATGCGTTCGAGTTTTGAAGTTTTGGGGGATCGGCAGCACGGCGGGAGTTTCCTCGGGACTCTTGCCGTGACGAACCCCAGGACAGGTCCAGGCGGGGAGACGTTTCGGAGGGGGGTGTGCAGGAGGAGTCAGTAGCAAATCGTGGGAGGACCTTTCAATTTTCCACCTCCACCGTTCGAACCCTGCCTATCGACCTCTCGCCCTCATGTGGCCCAACTACAGTTTCCAACTTCCGACCCCTAGCATTCACCACCAACGGCCGCCACCCATTTTTTCACCTCCAGCTTTCGACCTCCGCCATCCGACGTCCAGCCTCAAGGGCAAGATCTTCAGCCTCAAGGGCAAGACATCTTGGAAGTTGCCACAACGGGTCTTTGAAACAAGATGGATCAGGATTTCTGATCGGGCCTCATTGTCTGACGCTCCGGTGCTCCAGCTCGACACCCGCAGCACCCTCGACGGTGCCTATGTGCGGGCGTGCTTCGTGCTTGGCAACTCCGTCTTCAGAGTGCATTCGGGCCAGTGGTTCCCCGAGTCGGTGTGGGGAGCCTCTCGGGGAACGCGCGGGGGAGCACGCGGTTTGGATCGCACATTTGTCCGAGCGGTGTGTCAAGAGCTCTGCCAAGCTATCGGAGCCTGCGTTCCCCCACCCGTTGTGGAAGCCCTTAGGGGATCATTCAGGGGAGGATGGTGGGGAAGACCAGGAGGAGGAGGAGGAGGAGGAGGAGGAGGAAGAAGAGGAAGAGGAGGAGGGGGGGGAGGGGAGGAGGAGGAGGTGGAGGAGGAGGAGGAGGGGGGAGGAGGAGGGGGAGGAGGGGGCATATTGGGAGCCTCTGGGGGCTCTCTGGGGGCATCCTAGGAGCTTCCTGGGAGCCTCTTGGAGGCCATGTCACGACTCCGCCGGCGCCAGCTGGGAGTGCCTCGCGGTGGCTCATATTCCCAGGCGGCGCCGGCGCGAGGGTAACGCGGCCATGGGGGGGGAATGGGGAGGGGGCGCGAACAGTGGCGTGACAGCGGGGGAGGGGGGAGGGGGGGGGACGGTCACAGGCGTCAATTACCGCGAGCCATGACCTTCCAGAGTGATAAGGCATACCCCTCCAGACCAAAGCCGACTTGAGCTTCGACGGGGGAGATTCAAGATGTCCAGGCCCTGGCGCTATTTTTTGCCCCCCCTTCTGCGAGGGCGTCGGGTACCGTTCGGGACGACCGACATGTGTACGGAAAGAATGTGTACAATGCCCAACAGCGGATCCTGTTCATGTTGAACAGGATTGGCTGTCCACGCCGCTGCGGCCTGCGTCCATTCGAGACAGAAGGCCGCCGGCCCAACAGCGGCCGCTGTTGGTTTGGGACAGCATTTGTTGTTGGGCATTGTGCCCACTGTTTCTGGACCCATTTCGGGCGTCCAAAGCCGTGGCTGATCCGCGCGCCCCTCACCTGCGTTGTCGTTTCCTCGATTCTGCCCCACTGGCTGGAGGGCGTCCAAAACCGTGGCTGATCCGCGCGCTCCTCACCTGCGCTGTCGTTGCCTCGATTCTGCCCCGCTGGCTGGAGGCACGTGCGCTACCCGGGCAGCCTCGGCGCGGCGGAGCTGGGGAAGGCGGGCAGGCGGGCGCTCTGCCCAGGCCCCCCCAGGTGGCTTTGCACCGCTCGGACGTGTGCATTTTTTTTCGGCGAGGGCCATCGAGGAATCTGTCGGGCGTGTCCCCCTACAGGGGGATTTTCTACGAACAATCGAAAATACCCCCAAACATACCCAAAAAGGTCAGACAAATACCCAAAACATAGTCCCCAGACTCTTTTTGGACTATTTTGTTGATTGTTTTTGTTTTTTTGTTTTTCGTCGAAAATCTCCCTTTGGGGGGACACACGCCCGACAGAAATCAGCATCCCTGAGCATTTGGCGAAAAGGCCACGCGCGAAACCGAACAGAACACGGGGAAGGGACGCCCGAGCGATGGCCCGAGGGGGGGTGCACTGCGCCAGCCTTTGCGCGCAGGCTCCCCCCGCGCCAGGCGCGCCCCCTCCTCCACGCGGCCTGCCGCGCCGGCGGCCCGCGCCAGCCGCGGCGTGCCGTCGTGCTGTCTTGGCACCGCTTTGACGTGTGCATTCTGCTTTCGGCGAGGAGCATCGAGGAGCATCCCTGATCATTTGGCGCAAAGGCTCGGGGGTGGACAGAACCCCCAACAGTGACGCGTCGATTAGTGAATTGTCCGTGTTCGGTTCTCGAGAGGGCGCTGTGGCCGTTATTTTCCAGGCTTGCGCCCGCCAGGTTTGGGCCCGACGTCGTTTTCACTAAACCACGTTTTACTAGGGGGGGGTCTGTCCATCCCCGAGAATCGAGGAGCATCCCTGATCACTTGGCGCAAAGGCCACGCACGAAGCTGAACAAAAACACAGGAAATGGACGTACGAGCGATGGCCAGCCGTCAGCGCGCGCAAGACCCGGTTGGACCGGCTGACCCCAGCGGAGCGACGAGAAGAACCGTTCTTCTCGTCGCTCCGCTGGGGTGCGAGCAGGTGGGGCCGGGGGCTTGCGCGCCGCATCGCCGAGGCATCGCCGATGCATCGCCGGTGCGGCTCGAGGCGGGGCCCAATGTTCGCAACGCAGACCTCGCCGATGCCTCGGCGACGCGGCGCGATCCTCCGAGACCCCGTCCGCCCGGATCCGATGTGGGAGGCCTCGCCTTTCGGGGGTCGGCCGAACGAGGGGGACAGGGAACGGGGTGGTGGGGTGTGGCAGGGTTCGTCTCCGATTCCTCCGACTCGATTCGATGTCGATGGTTTCCGATTCCGATTCGATTCGACTTGGGATTCCAATGCGGGCTCCGATCTCTTACCGGGGGCATGCCAGCCCACCGCTTTTCGCCGATTTGACGTCTCCCGACTTGGCTGCCGATTTCCGCCGATCCGATTCCTGTCGATCGCCGATTCGACTCCTCGATTCGAGCCTTGGCTCTCCCGGCGTGGGCGTGAGGGGGCCTGCTGCATGCAGCTGCTCTCGGCCCCGCCTCTGGAGCTCTCTGCGGCGCGCCGTCGCTCCCGGCGCCGGGAGGCGCCGCTGGCAAAACCGGGCAATCTTGGGCCGATTCGCTGGCCACCCCGCCGTTGCCCGCCTTTCTTTGTCCGACCCGGCTCTCCTGGCCCCGTCTTCCGCGCCCTCGCCGCGGAGGCAGAGGGTCCCGTGGGAAGCGAGCCCTCGGGTGTCTCCCTCCTTCCGGGCGGGCCCTCCGCAGTTCGCGGGCCTCCTGTCGAGGGAGGAAAACATGATCGACCCACGAACCCGGAAAGGAATATAGAAATGTAAAGCATTGCAACATTTCAAAGACACCTGATTGGGCGACGGGCACATGCAATGCTGAATGTATCGATGATGATGCACTGTGCCGAGGGCTGTGCTGTGCTACGCCGTGCTGAGCTGCGATGTGGCATGCCGCGATTGTGCTCTATATAGCGTTGTGGATCGAGTCCTCCCTGGCATCCGAGTCCTCACCGAACTGATCTGGAGCGTAAGCTCGAGCTGCCTGAGCAGATGGTAGCTGCCCCAGAACTAATCGACAGAGGGAACATGCCAGGAGGACGCGCCGCGGAACGTCCCAAGGGACGCGCCAGGCGACGTGCCAGGGGACGTGCCATGGGGACGCACCGCGGGACGTGCCAAGGGGACGCGCTAAGGAACGTGCCAATGGACGTGCCGAGGGACGTGCCAGGGGATGCGCCGCGCGACGTGCCAGGTGGACTCGCCACGGAACGCGCCAAGGAACGTGCCAAAGTGCATAGTTGAGTGTATCGATCTTGATGTACCGTGCCGACGGCTGTGCTGTGCTGGGCCGTGCTGAACTGCGATGTGCCATGCCGCGATTGTGCTCTATATAGCGTTGTGGATCGAGTCCTCCCTGGCATCCGAGTCCTCACCGAACTGATCTGGAGCGTAAGCTCGAGCTGCCTGAGCAGATGGTAGCTGCCCCAGAACTAATCGACAGAGGGAACATGCCAAGAGGACGCGCCGCGGAACGTCCCAAGGGACGCGCCAGGCGACGTGCCAGGGGACGTGCCATGGGCACGCACCGCGGGACGTGCCAAGGGGACGCGCTACGGAACGTGCCAATGGACGTGCACCGCGCGACGTGCCAGGGGGACTCGCCACGGGACGCTCCGCGGAACGTGCCAGGCAACATGCCAGGCTGCAATGCTAAGGGTATCGATATTGATGCACCGTGCCGAGGGCTGTGCTGTGCCTGGGCGACCTGGACACGTGAAAACACGCGTTTCGCTCAAGACGTTGTCAGCACATCCTCATGCTAGACATCCGCCTGGTCAACCTGGACACGTGCAAACAAGCGTCTCGCTCGAGACATCCTCAACAAATGCTCATGCTAGACATCCGCCTGGGCGACCTGGACACGTGAAAACAAGCATCTGGTTCGAGACATCCCCAACAAATCCTCATGCTAGACATCTGTCTGGGCCACCTGGAGGCGTGAAACCAAGCGTCTCGCTCGAGACATCCTCAAGACCTGGGCACGTGAAAACAAGCAATCCACTTGAGAGATCCTAAGAATTCAGGTCCCCAGGAGAGGACACTCTATGACACAAAACAAGCGTTTCGCTCGAGACATCCTCAACACATTCTGAAAAACAAGCGTTTCGCTAGGGACATCCTCAATTTTTAATTCGCCGGCCCTACGCGACCTCGTTATTTATCGCAAAAGAAATTCGCCGGCCCTACAGCCGTCAAAACCAGGGGGAAACCAACTAAAAGAGAACCCTGGGCTCAGGCCCTTTCCGGGAAACACCACCCGGACCCAACAGTTGGCGCTCACTGAACGGCCGTGGGCGTTGGTAGGGGTAGGGCTCGCTTGTGGCCACCTGTTCCGTGGGGTGCGTTTCCGGAGCGGCCTCGCTCGTCGGGGTGCTTCTCCTGTGGGGGCGGCTGTGCTGCCCTCCTGGGACTCCGGGCGAGAGGCTGGTGCTGGCGGGAGGCCCCCGACCCGCTCCCCTCCAGGGTTCTGTCGGGCCTGCCCCCCTACAGGGGGATTTTCAATGTCTTCTTATGCCCCAAAAATGCCCCCAAAAGGTCAACCAAACTCCCAAAATAGTCCCCAGACCATTTTTGGACTATTTTCTGTTATTTTTAGAGTATTGTTTTTGTTGCTCTTCGAAAAACCCCCTGTAGGGGGACAGGCCCGACTGAACTCCAGGGCCCTGTCTGCTTCCGGCCCTTGGCGTGGCCCCCGGCCCCGAAGGTCCAGGCCTTTTCCTGCTCGTCGTCCCCCGTCGTCTGCGCCCCTCCTTCAGAGAAGGACGGGCTACTGCTACCGATGCCCGTGCCTCGTTTTCCGCTATCTGGGTCGCTTGGGAGGCCCTCGTCGCCATTGCTGGAGTCGCCCTGGAAGAATTCTGGCCAGGGCGCACCCCAGGAGAGCGTGGGGAGCCGCAGTACTGGAGACGTTTGGCTTCCCCAGTCCCCCGTCGTCTGCGCTTCCCCTCCTCCCTGCGTTTTCAGTCATCCCGCCTGCGTCTTGGGTACAGCGCCGGTTTTAATACATGCTCCGCGTGCGGATCATGTACTAAGATAAAGGGATTTAGTATCAAAATCAATGATGAATTCATGCATTGATTTATTAGTAAATTAATCATGTGTCAGAACATCCAAAGTATTAAAGAATCCTATGTATTGAAACCTGCCCTGCAGCACGACGTCGGCGGTCGGCCGTCGGCGGAGGAGGGGCCTCTCGTGCCTGCCGGCGGGCGCCGCGGAGGGCCCGCCATCTGGCAGGCCGCCGTCTGCCGAGGGTTCGCTCACGCGGCTCTGCATGGGGGTCCCCGCCTCTTGCACTCGTGTCCTGGAGTCGAATAATAATAATAATACTTGCGCTCGTGCCTTGGAGCCGAAGAGTAAGACAGTCAAACACCCGAATAAGGACGCGCGGCTTTGCTCAGGGTGCCCTTGCTCTTCCTTGCTCTTCCCTGTTCGTGCGTCCCTGAGGTCGTCGTCGTCCGCCGCCTCAAACATCCCAACTTCGGCTTCCAAGGGTCTTGCGTCCTTACCGCGCGTCCTCATTAGGGTTTTTGATTGTGACGATTACAGAAATCAACTTTCGGAGATCCACGCGGATTCCTTGGATGGGCGCTGAGCCCGGCAGGCGGCGCCTCCAGCGCAGACCCTGGGGCGCTGCGCGCGCCAGAAAGGGGGGTCCATTGCTGATCCAACCAATCCGCGCGTACCTCTTGTCGCAGCATCGACACATGTGTGGGGCGAGTGATTCCAGGACGGTGCTCGGAGCGAGCATCAGTCGTAATGGCGCGGGCGCAGTCAGTACGAGCCCTGCGCATTACCGAAGGACACGGGTGAGCGACGAAGGAGAAAAATGCTGATACTGCGCGGACGTCAGCTGCCCGCGTAAGGCTGCGCGTATGCGCCCTCGTCGCCAGTGTGGTCGCTATGTCTCCGGGCCTCCCAGATAGGGTGATCGGAAGATCGCGCCGCATCGCCGATGCATCGCATATGCGGCTCGGTGTGGAGTGCGCTTTTCTCCACGCCGACGTCGCCGATGCAACGGCGATGCGGCGCGATCCGCCGACCCCATCTACGTACAT